CCCATTTATGCCTTAAATTACTTTGGAAGCAAATCTATCTTTTGTTTTCATTTTCCCCACTATATTTTACATTTATCTCTCTAAAGTCATTTAACAAATGTTATATTGTCTCAAGTCTTACCTCTGTGTATCTCACATTTCCCATCTGGACTAGGCCCCCTAAGGGCGGACCCCACATCTGATTTACATTTTTATCTCCTCCAGTGCCTAGCTAGAATGTAAGTTTCCGGAGAAAAGGGACTTGCCTGTATATCCCCAGGGGTTAGCATGGTGAAACTTCATGTTAATAAGCTGTCAAATAAGTGGACATTTTATTTTTATTTATGTGAGAGAGAGAGCGCGAGCGGAGTGGGGGAGGGGTGCTGCAGAGGGAGAGGGATGAGCAGACACCCTGCTGAGCAGGGAGCCCAAGGTGGGGCTCGACTCCACGACCTTGAGATCATGACCTAAGCCCAAGTCAGACTCTTAACTGGTTGAGCCACCCAAGCGCCCCAGTAGACATTTTAATAACCACAAAACCTAGGGGCACCTGGGGGGCTCAACCAGTTAAGCGGCTGCCTTTGGCTCAAGGATCAAGTCCCACATCTGGCTCCCTGCTCAGCGGGGAGTCTGCTTCTCCTTCTCCCTTGGCCCCTCCCTCTGCTCCTGTGCGCGCTCTCTCTCTCAAATAAATAAATAAAATCTTAAAAAAAAACCACACACACACATAAAACCTAGGGTCCTGGGATCGAGGCCTGTGATGGGCTCCCTGCTCAGCGGGCTGCCTGCTCATCCCTCTCCCTCTGCACCCCACCCCCGCTCATGTTCTCTCTCTCTCAGATAAATTAACAAAAATTTAAAAATATAAATAAATAAACATGAAACCTGAAAAGAATAACACGGAGGAGGACGGATGAATAGGCAGAGCACAGAAATTTTGAGGGCAGTGAAAATCCTCTATGGTACTACAATGATGCATACATGCCATCATACACTTGTTTAAACTCAGACTGTACAGCACCAAGAGTAAACCCGAAAATAAAATTACTATGAACTTTGAGTGATTACTGTGTGTCAGTGTATGCTCATTCATTGTAATAAATGTCCCGCCGGTGGGGAATGGTGACGATGGGGCAGGCTGTGCATGTGTGGGGACAGGGCGTTTATGCGAAATCTCTGTACCTTCCTCTCCATTTTGCTGTGAACCTAAAACTGCTCTACAAAAACTAAGTCTTGAGAAAAAACAAACAAAAAGGAGAACAGCATGCTTTCAAAACGGAAGAAAATGCTGAGCATATATTAAACCCAATAGAGTTCGCAAATTTTTTATCTACTCATCATGTTAAGCTAAACACATACAATGTGTCAGATACCTTTCTAATCACTATAGATAGATAGATAGATAGACAGATAGATAGATATGTATTGTTGATTTATCAGATAAGGAAACTGTACTCAAAGAAATTGAGGAATATGTTCCAGGCTGCACAACTGCTAAATAGCAGAGTCAAGATTCACACAGAAGAACTGCCTCCAAAGTCCATGAGCCTTATACTGGTCTGGCAGGTAACCAAAACTCATAATTTTGCCTTTATTTCATAACTTCATGTATATTATTTTTTTCCTTTCTGAAATAAGACTTCAAGTTTCTTGGGGTTAAAAACTGGTATCTGCTCATTATTAAACAGCCCACAATATAATTAATTTCCTGGTCAGGCATCTTCTGTTAGGTGTCTAGCTAGTTGAAATTTCTAGGAACGGTAAATCACACCAAAGATACACTACATCTGTTTCAGATTTTTAGTTCAACAAAAAAAGGAAAAAAAAAGAAGAGCTAGCTTATAGAGAGGTTTGGTTGTTTTTTAATCCACTTCCAGGAGTATGATTTTTATATAAAAATTATCCTATACTAATTAAAAGTAGTAGCACCCTGGGGTAATTTTCTTTTTGATTGTTGTTGTTGTTGAAGTTGATGATAAGGAGTGTACTGGAGGGATGATTGGGTAACTAATGGCTCAGGCAAATAAAAGATAGGATTTTCTACCAGAAATACAACAAAAGAAAAGGGAATTCAAAAAATGAGAAGGTTAAAAAAAATTTAAAAGAAGTTTTGGAGAGTGTAAAATCTCTGGAGAATGTTGAAGTTGAATAAACTGTGGAACCAGGAAGAATAGTTTCTATGCGTATCATAGCTTACTTAATCTGAGTCTAGGACAAAAAAAAAAAGGCAGTGTTTCTTTAAGAATTAAAAAGTATGTAGGCTTCTAACATAGCACAATGTAATGGCTACATTTTAATTTTTAAAAATCCATAAAGATTCTGCATTAAGCAATAGTCAAAAGTTTTTCATGCTATTTCCTAATAGCAAAAATGCTACATAAATATAGTTTATGTTATGCTGGTGTTTCTAATAACTGATATAAAGGTACAACTAGGTATCTAAATGACAGAATCAATGTAATCATCAATCAAGTAATCTACTGAGCACTAAGCACATGAATAAAAATAATCCTACTCTGTTTTTTGTTCTCATTGATTGTTAAGTTTTGTGGGTTAAGGAAAAATGATGTGGAAGTAAAGTAATTAATCACTTAAGTAATGATCTATTGCTCAAATTTCAATCTGCAAGATAGAAACGTTTACCCACAGGTTCCAAGTTATGTAGTAACCTTTTTCTCTGACATCTCCAAACAGATCTCACTGGCCAGGTTGAAACTTGCACAGTACTGTTAGCGCTGGTTGCTTAAAACACTAAAGGTACACCTAACCCTAAGGGAGCTTTGTCATGCAAAATGAGACTGAACAAAGAAGAATCCAGTCCATGATAGTGTAACTCACATTAAAATTAATATTGCAGAAACGTGTGCCATAAGAAAATGTTATTAAAATATCAATAACTCAAAGACAGATCTTGCGAAAAATAAGAAAAGGTAATTAATTATATGTATGCTATTTCTTAGTTGTGAAGGCATATTAGCATGATACCCAGATATATTATTTGTTGGATTTATCAAAATCCACTTCAATGTTTTTCTTTAAAGATGTAACTAACAATTTAATTCCTTAAAGAACAATCTATACAGATAGCAAATAGCAAACAGTGTTGAATACAGGCAATCTGACTCCAGAAACCAAATTTTTAACAATTCTGCTAAATTGTTATTTGGGTTTAAATTTATTTTAAGGAGGCTGAATCCTCTGACAGTTCTCTGTTGTTAAATCAGAGTTTTTCTTTTCAGTGTTAAGCTCCAATAACAGGTTCTAGTGAAGTCAGTGAAAGGACAATGCAATGTGAGGGTGAACCAGCAAATGACAACCCACTGTTGTCAGAGATGAGCCCACTGATCTTGCTTTCGTTGCCTTAGCATTAGTTTCATACACTTCCAGCCACCCACCTACCACATGCAGCCCTCACAGAGCTGTGGGCCCTGGAAAAGCAGATAGCTTTCCTACACTGAAGAACAACATCCTTCAGCTCAAGAATAACAGAATCAACTAGTACGTGAAGAAAATCCATTAAGATCTCAATAGACACATAACCCTGAATAAAGAACCTTACCTGAGGAACGATACCTATGAAGTAAGAGGTTTTTCAATAAAATAGAAAAATCAACTCATGACAAAGCAATTAAAATAATGCATTGTGTTCCCTCTCCCAGGAATAAAGACAAGTAAGAAATTGTTCATTTTTAAAAAGCAGAAATGAATTGTTCTTAGCTTATAAATTACCCACTGACCAAAATAAAATATACTTTTACATAATGCATTCTCATTAGGTTCTGTAACAAACTATAAATAGACAAGTCTTTTAAAAGTTTAAATCTCAAGACCTAACGCAAAAGTGAACTTTCAAAACAGGTAATTTTCTATGTCCAGGGACAGGTTTCCCCTGCTATTGGAAGTATAGGGTCCTTATGAAACTTTTCATAAACCTAAACAGGATAAAGAAGCAATTATATTAACTTATATGGAAAATTTTTTAAGCGTTCCCAGATCCAAAAATAACCTCTTCGCCTTTTCTGATACCTTAGGACACATCTTGCTAACAGATGCACAAAATAAACCCAGATAAAGCACAGATGCTCAAACAGTTCAAAGCTATGGTAGCTTGATGCTAAGATGTTGAATGCAGTTCCTGGGGAAGGAGCTTGGCGGGGCCCCTGTTGCTACTGGGCTGTGTGCTGGCTGCTTCCATAATGGCTCGCTGCAAAACAAAGTCTGCACACTATTTTAGCTTTTCACCTTTTTTCAGAAAAGCGGAAATCCTCTTTAGATTTCTTTCGGATAGCATAACTGTTTACCAAAACTTCGCTTTAGAAAAAGCAAAGTGGCAGAAGGCAATATTTCAGAAAGCAGAGAATAGTTCTACTGAACCTTATAGGGAGGATTTTGAACAACTCTCCAAACTGGTAAATGATCGTTTTTTGTTAAACCATATAAAATCAGCCTCGTGAAACATAAAGTAGATATATTATTCATTGTCTGGTTTAATCATAACTAAATCAAGTAATTCTTGGGGGAAAAAAAAAAACAAAGACATGTGGACAACTTTTCCTTTTTTGTTTGCTTGTTTTGAAACTGCATGTAACCGACAAAAATGTGAATAATTTATTAAAAATGCCTCCCCCTTAGATGATATAATTCATGAAACACTATTTCATGTTTAGTTTCCAAATGTTATTGTCAGAAGTCAGCAAACCAATCCAGTCTGAATAATGCACTCAGAAAAAAGGACTTTTTCTTCCTGAATACAGACATGGAAACAAATCTGTCAATAAGTAGCTCTTTGTCAAACAACCAACAAATTTTGTACCAAAAACTGTTTTTCAGTATGTGGAAATAGTCTCATTACTTTGAAGGTTGTGTGCCAATGTATTTAAACATTTCCTCAAGAACAGGGCGAGAGGAGGGGCGAAAGAGATGATCTCTGTTCCAATGCGCTAGTATTTACCTCTGAGTATTACATACACTGTGAGATCCAATGACATGAAAACATAAACCAGAAAAGCATAGATGATTACCTGATATTCATTGGGCCAAAAGGTGCTCACTGCTAGCTCCGCCCGAAGCCAATCTCTACCCGTGAATCCAGTCACATTCCAAATTGGATTGGCAAGAGGTCCTTTATTCACCCTAACCAATATGTTCAAAGTGCCTGGATTCAACCCTTTCTGGCTGTATAAAAGGTAACTGAAATCAATACAGTGAGTGTCGTTCTCCTTCATTGTCGGCAGCTGAAGTCTGGCTTTTTCTCCAGGGTCATGATCTGAAGAGTCCACTATCATATAGGAACCTGAAATGACATTACATATAATAAAGCTAAATAGACACATAAGCAAAAGGGACTATCTAATAACAGGAAAAAATATGCTAAAAATAATACGAATCCATTTTGAGCATTAAATTTAACTTAAAAGGACTGTCTTCCAGAACAGATCCATAGAAAAATATCAAACACGTAGGTGAACTCAATTTTTAGTAAGTAACAGATACTGTTCCAAGTACGTAATACATATCAATTCATTTGCTCTGGTGAAACAATCTGCTTTACAAATTAGTAAACTGAAGTACAATTAGTAACTTACTCAAAGTCAAATAGAGTAGGTAGAGCCTGGTTCAAATCCAGATCCCAATCCTGCAGTCTTACTAAACAAAGGTCTTTCATTATCAAACATGAAAACAAACATGGCTTCCACAGAGGGGGCATCTTTCCTTTCCCTATCATACTACTCTTGCAGAGAGATGGGTTAACTAAGTGCAGGTACAATCCTTTCTGATTTCAGACCCCAAGGTCATCGTTTACACAAGCTGGCTAACCACTCTGTACTAACCACTCTAAACTTAAGTTCAGGGAATAAGGATACTCTGCAGTGTACATATGAGGAGAGAAGTTGAAAATGTCGATTTTTCAGATCTGAGAATCTGACATATAGTGGATTTGCCTACTTCTTCGAGCCCTGCCCACTAAGCTATCAGCTAACCACCATGGCTGCTGGCCCCAATTCTGCCATAGTCCCACCATACACTCCTCCAGAGCTGCAAGGAACCTGGTTTGAAAACACTAGTCTAACTCCATTACCTTCAATTTAATAAATATTTCTTGGTTGTCTGTCATAGGACATAAGAAGTCCCAACCTCACAGCACCTCCTAGTTCCACCAAACGCACAGTCTTAGTGCTAAGTATAAACATGGGACTTGAACATCAGCTGCTGCTATTAGTCCAAGGGCCGCTGCAGAAAAAAATCACCAGATCTTCTCACATCACTGTGGATTTTAACAAAGATACATATCACAAAAATGTCAATATGCCTATTTGTCACACTTAAGGTAGAACATAAATTTTATAGTAATTTTTTTTCCCCTAGGATGTAATTTTAACCAGAATGTATTAGGTATAGTATTACAGAATCCAGTGTTACAAGGATTACACTCGGACCTCTCTTCCTGACCAATCAACCCTGTTTCCTCCCTAAAACACAGTAACTTTTACATACCACACTAAATACTCAATGACTACTAGTCTAACTAGTTCGGTTAACCCCAAAAGCAAGTTCAAATCATGGCAGCTAAGAGGACTTTTACTACCTAAGAAACTGAAATTTCACATCTGATGAATTCCCATTCTAGAGCTCAGAACTTATGTAAAGATTTCACATGATAACACTATCAGTTATCAGGCAAAGTACAGAATACGCTTACTGTAGTGATGGCTACTGACAGGACTTCCACTTCCTTTTCCCCAGGAGTCATCCTCTCTTGTAACCTGAAATTCTCTTTTTTTACTTCTTCTTGATTCTCACAGATTGCATGCACATTAATAGAATAAATTGGTCATGTATATTTTTGGAGAAATTATGTCTCTTTTTTTTTTTAAAGAGGATATCCTGGATCCCAATCCAATTTATACAAGCAGGATGTTTCTATTCTTGGTTATACCCACATTCTGAGGTCCATGGCTGATTTGCCGACATGTCTTTCAGATTCACCCAAGCAGAGCTCTGACTAATGATTGCTTTAACAAGACCAGGCCTGAGATCTTAGACAAGTTACTTACTGTTATTGGGCCTCAGCTTCTTTACAAACCTGTGACCTATTTCTCCACTGCCAGAACAGGTTTTTTTTTGTTTGTTTGTTTGTTTTTTCAGTGATATAGAATGACAGCAGTGAATTTAAATTATTTTTACAAGTCTTCATCAACTACGGCTTCTGATTGTCAATTTCAAAGTAGTGCTCTCTAATTGACTTATGGGCTTTCAAACAGTTATTTTCTTCCATTATAAAATAAACTTTGGCATAAAATATGCTTTGTCAAACATCTTAATTACATACTGTGATATTTACCATTAACACCATTTAGCGATTTTCATCCAGTTGCACTTTTAAGCTATGATAATTTTCATATTAAGGAAATGGGATGAGCAAAGTATATTAATTTGTAGGAATTACCAATTGGATCATTAGAAAAGACAAAAGTCACAAAATAAAAGCTTGCTCAAGCTATTCCAGCATTTCAATACAAGTTAATTTAAAAAAAAAAAGTGCTGATATTTCATTTCTATAGAATGTTTCTTTCAATGCAGTCTAATTACTGCTATATTTTCTGAGTGTTATGAAATAATATGCATTTAGTTCATGGTTCCAGAAAGGAAGAAGCAAGCACTAGCACTCAAGAGCCAACCAAGCACTTCTACCAGCTGATTTCATATAGTGGCAATTTACCAAGTAGGCACCAGGGAGGTAGCTGCCTATTTGACGTAAGATTTACTTTCATCATCCCAAACATAGAGAACACTATGCTATTCTTATCAACTTCTAAAAATTACTTCTACAGTCTCCCAGAGTAAATGACTGTAACACTCAGAGTCAGGAAATTCTACGATATGCATTTCCCTCATTCTTTATGTGCTAATTTAAGCTTACTTGTTATAGTTCTGTCACCAGCTAACTAATCCCTCAGGTTTCTAATAAGAGTTCAATTCTATTTAGTTGTGATTTACCTAACTCAAGACTTAATAATGAAACATCTGTGTCAAACGTATTACGTAGTAACTTTTAATGAATGTGAATTCTTTAATGTGGCCTTACAAATATTCCTTACAGTCTCTGGAGCAACAGAGGTCTCAAATATATCATGTAAGACATAAAAGAAAAACTTATTAGGCTTACGATCACTTTTTTAAAAATGTATAATTTTTCTGGAGAGCATTCGGACAATGAGAATCAAAAACCTTAAAAGAGACAGATACCCTCAGCTGGTGATTCCAAATCAAAGAATGTAAACTAGATAAACAATTTGTATACGTACAAAGATACAGCTTAAAAAAAGATGTCCATCTCATCGTTACATTATTTAAAATAGAGAAAAACAGGGGTACCTGGCTGGCTCAATTGGTAGAGCACTCGACTCTTTATCTCAGGGTTTGGGGTTTGAGTCCCACTGTTGGGTGTAAAGATTACTTAAAAGTAAAATCTTTTAAAAACAATAAAATGAAATAAAAAATAAAATAGAGAAAAACAAAAGTATTTTAAACGTCCAATAATAGGCAATTTGTAAAATTATGATAACTCAGTTTGATGAGTAATTCTGCAGTCATTAAAAACAAATTACTAAAACCATTTGATGAAAGATATTCACACTATGTTAAGTAAAATAAGCAGATTATAAAACATTATACCCATTTTGAAAAACCACATATATAAACTAAATACAATTGTGTAAATGTGTGTATTCATATAGGTACACATGCACATGCACATATGACAGGAATAAAAGAATATATAGCAAATAGTTAACTGTATTATCAAAAGGGAGCTATAATTGTCTTCTCTTTTCTTATTTTCATGTACATTCACTGAATGTTCCATAATGAACATGCATTAGATTGGTACTTTAAAAAAAAGAGAGACTACGTGAATACTATCTTACAAAAGTAACGTCAAATGATAAATACTTAAGAAATAAACATAGGTATTTGCCTTTTAAAAATAAATCCTATTTGAATCCTACAGATTAACAGCACCTTGGCTTTCAAAAGAAAAAACACAATACAAATATCAGAAACTTCTTATTTCAATTCATTAAAAGAGGGGGGCAGTGAGTAGACTAAATAGCAGTTTTTATTTAAAAAGAATAACTAAAGAAAACAAGTCCCATATTAAAAAATGCCATAGTCTAATATCTAGATGAGTAAATAATGTCCCATAGATGAAAATTTTATCTTTAAGATGTACCTCTAGGAATAACAACAACACAGGAAATAGGATTAACTGCACAGAAAATAATGAATGATAAATAGGTTTCCATACTTCATCTTAAAACTCTTTTATTTATATATATCCTTTAGTAACACTAACATATTTTTATTAAGTCAATTCTTATTTAAGATCCACTGAAGGTGCCCTGTTAACTGAACTGAAAGAAATTTCCACTTCTCTGCCTGGTACTGATGACCCTCCATGATCTTTGCCACTGTACCTCCTCCAACTTCTCCAATCTGACAGAGCCCTCACGACTTTCCCCACACACCATGACAGTTTTCTTCTCCAGAACAGGCTCATGCCTCTGTAAGGAAGCCTCGCTCATCTCAGCCCAGCGCCAGTTCTTGCCCATTGATCTTCCTCAGCACCCCGTCCTTATTGAGCTTTCCCTGCCTTGAAGCTCTTTGATACACAGTCTGCCTTCCTGGTTCTGGCCCTTAATTATGCACTGCTTTTGTACAAATTTTAAATAATTTATACAGGCATTGTTTATCCCCCTCAGAAGAGTGATAGAAAGTACCTAATTTATTCAGAGTCCCATCAGCAGAGAGAAGCCACACAGAAAATGTAACAGTTGAAAGTGTGATATAAGAATCATAAACTATGAGGGGCGCCTGGGTGGCTCAGTTGGTTGAGTGACTGCCTTCGGCTCAGGTCATGATCCTGGAGTCCCGGGATCGAGTCCCACATCAGGCTCCCCGCTCAGCGGGGGGTCTGCTTCTCCCTCTGCCCTCTTCCCTCTCGTGCTCTCTGTCTCTCATTCTCTCTCTCTCAAATAAATAAATAAAATCTTAAAAAAAAAAAAAAGAATCATAAACTATGAGACGTAGAAACTCTGAAGTTGCAAAGAAAACCCTAAAGAGTAAGCACAGTACCCAAGGAAGGACAGATGTGGAAAGGGGAGGGAGGCTGCTGAGAATCAGATCTCCTTAAAGAAGGTGTAGTTTTGCAGCCCACTGGATGATGAAGAAGGTTGCTGGGTCACTCAGGCCAGAGCTGTCCACAAGCAGGGAAGACTCCCATGCATCAGGGTG